GGGGTTGGTTAGGGTTGGTTAGGGGGTCGGGGTGGATTGGAGTTGGGGGCCCAAGAAAATGTTTGCCCAGGGTCCAATCAGTATTAAAGACGGCCCTGGCCTAACATGTTCCAACTCATTTGATTGTTATCCGAGTGATTGTTGAGGGTCTGGTTCAATCATTTTCTCTCCATATGTGGTCAGATTATCACCTAATTGTGGCAGTATTATTTTGAGTAAACAAATTCCTTGTATAATCTCACTATCTTCTAACCACTGAAGGTCTGTAGTTATAAATGTCATCTAATAATTCATCTTTGAGACTTCAAGTTTGTTAATATTTCCTTCTAACCTGGATTCATTGCATTAACACTTTTCTGCAAAAACACATCTGCAAAAACACTTTTATTTTTATAGCTCATAAATGTATATATTGGTGCCCAAATCTCTATTAAGCTGAATTCTTGTATAAATTATAATTCTATAATTTAAAAAAATTGAAATTTAAAGCCCAACTTCATTCAAAAATGTGTTTTTCTTTCAATTTGTTTCAAAAATAGATGGGAAGAGCAATAACTTTTGCCAGGTTTTATTGTTCCAGTGACCCACCAACCTGACAGAACTTGTAACTTTTCTCCATACCACTAAAAAGGTTTTTGTGCTGCTGGTGTCCACATTGGATTGATTTCCAAGCACGTGTCCCTCTCTGTCAGCAAGGTAGAAAGTGAGGAGGCATCTACTTGAAGGAGACCAAGGTAGCAATAAACACCTTCCAACCCTACCCTACTTTGTCCAAAAATGAAGGGGGTAACTCACTAAAAAACCGAAGGATCCAGCCGTAGCTTTGGCTGTTCCTTCGGCTCTCTTTGGCCGCCGGAGCGGTTCAGTCGAACCGAAGGGCTACTGTACGGGTTATTGTCAATAGCCTGTACAGTAGCCGAAGGCGGCCGAGTGGCTCAGCCGGCAAATGACAGCTGGGCGGAGCCAGCTGTGATCTCATGGCTGGCTCCGCCCAGTTGTAATGACAGATCAGCGTCCCCAAACAACCTGGGAACGCTGATCTGTCATTAAACAATAACTGGGACGTCACGGCCAGCTCCGCCCAGTTGTTATTCATAGGTCGGGAACCTGCTAGATGACTCTTGCAGGTGCCGGCCAATAAGAAACAGTTGGGTGGAGCTAGCTGTCACCACTAGCTCTGCCCAATTGTTTTTTTCTTTTCTTTAAAATATCTTTCTTTTTTTATTTTACTATATGTTTACATTTTCTAAATATTTTTTCAACTATTTTTTTTTTCCATTCATTTAACTGTTTTGCTAATCAGCTTGGTTCCTCGGAGGTACCGAGCAGAATAACCGAGCAAATGCCGCTCAGCAGCATTCGGCTATTCACTCACTGCCGTTCACCCCCTAAGAGAATAGGGGCGAACGATAGTGAGTGAGCTGCTGGAGCTTCCCTCTGCACTTTGTCTCAGCTGAAGGCAGCCGATGTATGGCTGATTTCCGCCGATGTGCAGCTGAAATCAGCCGTACTGAGCCAGAATGAATAGCCGAACGTCGTTCGCTCACTTCACTTCTGCTGGATTATTCACTCGGCTACCTTCGGCAGCTTTGTGAATAACCTCCTAAATGTTTTGAATTGGGCTTTATTTTAGAAATGGTATACCATATGTTAGAGCTGAAAAGGTAACATAACAGTTCTATGTTTGTAACATGCACAACACAGCAATGCAACTTGACTTACTCTTTCTTCGTGGCTTGAGGTCCCGGTTTACAGGAGGGGGTTCCAGGTCTACGGGAAGATCTGGCAAAGGGCTGGAAACCTTTGCGTTAACGGATGCTGGGAAGTTGAACGTTGCAGTTACTGGGCTCATAGGTATATACCCATCTGTGCTACAGTCTGACTCTGAACATGGTGGGGAAGCATTTGGGTTCATGGGGACATAGCTATCATCTGAGCAATCTGAAGCAAAGGAATGTTGTGGCGTAAACCTGGGCTAAAAAAACGAAATAGACATCTGGTAAGTAATATAAATGTGTTATTATCAATACTGGGTTGTTATTAAAAAAAAACAAAAAAACTTATAGGAACTACAGTAGTCATAGATAATAATAAAAATCAAATATCCACAGCAAACAATAATTTCAATAATTATTTTACGTATACAGTATATACAGTATATCTTTGTGATGTCATAATATGTGATTGTGGTATGACCATGAAAAACCTGAATACTATTATTAATAATAATAACCAATAACCAATACCAATACAATTAATAATAACCAATACACAAAATGAAATATGTGAAATCTGGAGGAAAAGATTCCTGCCTCTGTCTCCCAAAGAGGACCAGTGGAAGAGTTTTCCCATTGACACCCTACTAAGACTTAAACATAATCAGCTGAAAATTGCTAGGTCACATGAAAAATCAGTCACAGTCTTCGAACTGCTTTTTTTAAGGCTACAAATACCTCATCCATAGAGGTGCTGAATTACAGACCACTGCTAGTTCACATCTTCTTGAAACTGGAAAACCCCTTATGAAGGTCGGGGGGTGATTAGGATCATATCCATGTAGTAACATATTTCTCAGGATGGATCTGGTATCGTAATGACAAGATTCTCTGTAGGGGATATTACATCTTTGTAGTTCACCTTCAGTCTGCCAAGCACTTCATCAGCAGGCATATTGGGGTGTTATGGACAATTAGCTAATTGTGAGGTCCTGATTTTGTCCAGAAACCCAGAGGAAAATAGTGACACTCCTGGCTAATTTTTTGACAAATGTAAAATTGCTGTGCTTGCAACAGTTTATAGCAAACATGCAAATTCAAACACAATTCATATGAAGTCCTTTCACTACCCACTTCTTCTCTGCCACTCTGTAGAATACATTCTTCCCCCATCACTGGATCAATGTTATTTTAAATTCTTGAGCAAAAGAAAATAAAGCGGAAATACTGGAAGAAGAACTTCAGCTCACGGGCACATTGAATGTAATTCCACAGCTGGCCACAAGGAGCCTCTACTACATTCTAAAAATGTTGCTGGTGGCACTGTATTTTTAAAGCATACATTTACTGAGTAATATGGGGGCTTCCACTGCTGACCTTCGTCTGAAAATGCTAGCTGCCTGATTGGTCCTCTCTCTTGGTCGTCTCTTCTCTCTCTCTCCTCGCTCTCTCTCTTGCTCTCTCCCTTTTCTATCTGCTGTCTCTTCTCTCTCTCTGCGGTCTCTTCTCTCACTTTCTCTGTTGTCACTCTTCTCTCTCTCTGCGGTCTCTTCTCCCACTTTCTCTGCTGTCTCTCTGCTGTCTCTCTCTCTTCTGTCTCTTCTCTAACTTTCTCTGCTGTCTCTCTTCTCTCTCACTGTTGTCTCTCCCCTGTCTGTCTTTTCTTACCTCCAATGCAGCAGCTTCCCGGGTCTCCTCTCATGTGCTGACGTCCTGTCCTCCCCCGGTGCTCGTGTGGCCGAATGTGGCCGTCTTTGCAAATGGAGAGAGGTGTCCCGCCGTTCCTGTCTGCAGCGTCTGACCCATTCAGCCAGCAGCTGCATGAGCACCGCGGGAGGGCAGGACACAGCCGATCACGATCTACCAGTGTTTGCTTTGCGATCGACTGGTAGATCGCGATCTACCTAATGAGCACCCCTGTCCTAGATTGTTCACTTCTCGTGCCTTCTTCAAAATTTTCACCCTTTTGTGACTAGCCCTGTTAATCTCTCAGCTCCTTTAATGCCCAATAAAACCGAATGAAAGCAAACAGCGTCACATGCAGAGTTGCAGTGAAGCTGGCCAGAGCAGGTTATAAGTTGGAAGATACACTTTTCACATGACTCCACAGGGGATTCAGACAAACTCTCCATTTTCAAGAACTGTCAGGTGGACCTATCTCGTGAGGCCTGGCATACAAAAAATGAGACCCAAACATCTTATTAAGCCATTGCTCTTAAAATTCTAGTAGCTTTTTTTTTTTTTAAACTAACTATAGTGTGACTTATATAGCACGAGAGTCTCAATCTTCCTGCTGCATTTCTAGAGTATAAAATAAAAACCCCCCACAGGAACAGCAAGTAACGTTTATAAAGAACACAGGAGGTATATAGAGCTGCGAAGCCATGTAATAACAATGATGTATTATACCAACCAGATTTAAGCTGAGCCTCTTGTCCCTACTTCGTAATGAGCAGTCTTCCACATCACCTGCAAGGGAGAATATGCAAGAATAAACTGATTGTTTTTTAACTAACTCTATACCATAGCAAGAAGCAGAAAACAATACCAGTTATAATTATACACAAAGATAACCTTTATTCCGGTGGATATTAAAAATGTTAGTTTGAGCTAAATGATTTTAAATAGAATGTGAGACATAAGGCCAAGTGGAAGCAATGAGCATGTTTGATTATGAAAGTGCTTCCTGATCAATGGTGTCATCACATTAGTAGAATTCCCAGAAACTCCATGACTGTGTGCAGTCATTGCTGCCTGCCATTTGATGCCTGACCATGGAATACAGCCAGCCTGTGATATGAATGCAGAGAGGGCAGCAAAACTCTAGAGAGCACACTGGCCGCATCTTCTCCTGCATCCAATACAAATTAGTAGGGCTGGTAATGATTAAAATATTTTCGTGTTCGATTAATCAAAATGTTTTTTTTTTAAATCGATTAATCGATTAATTTCGATTAATTATAACGCACATACAGATCCAACTACATTGGCCTATACACATACAGCACAGCGATGAAGTAATAAAATGAACTAGGATCACACTAATCCAGCACGTTATTAATCTCACGTGCCCCACTCAATATGGCCGCCGCTTCAGTGGGGCAACTCAGAATAATAACGTGCTGGATTAGTGTGATCCTAGTTCATTTTATTACTTCATTGCTGTGCTGTATGTGTATAGGCCAATGCCTTGGCTGGCGCTAATGAATACAGATAAGACATATTTCTAATGTAACTACAGAAAAATAACAGCCAGGCACTGGTGTGCGCTGTGTCAACAGTGATGATGCGGTGTCAACAGTGCATTTCACTGTAACCCTTCCCTTTGTTTTTTTACTTCATTGAAATGTCACAAAGCAACACTTTGTTCAGTTCTATGCATCTAATTACAAGAAAAAGCATGAAATAGCTGTACACAACTACTATCCCCCACGCCCCCCCACCACATATCTATGACCCCTTTATCTATCTACATATCTGTGACCCCCTGATACAGCGCTACCACGAGGGTGAGGGTGATTGGGTATGGGTTTTTCGCGCTAGGTGTGCAGCTTCTAGGAATGCAGACCGGGGTGTCCGACATTTGTCAAGGAGAACAAAAAATGGGGATAGAAGCGCTACTACCATAAGTAATTGGATTTATGCAAAATAGAAAAACTTACCAAAAAGTGATAGCTGAAATACAGTACATTGCAATGCAGTGTACTGCATTGCAACATGCTGCATTGAATTCAATGGCACTGCTTTCACGCCCCCCTGCCCGCAGTGCGATCGGACACGTGGCAAAACATTGCCTGCATTCCATTCCAAACGCAAAAAATAGAGCAAGCAGCATTTTTTGCATTTGCAGTGGAACGGAACGCAGGCAATGTTTTGCCACTCGTCCGATCGCACTGCGGGCGGAGTGTGTGGCTGCGGTGCCATTGAATTCAATGCACCGCCACACCCCCTCCCGCAGGGGGAAGTTTTGTGAGTGATTGCGGTGCGTTCCAGCAGCTACAGCTCTGGAACTAACACATTTGGTGTGAACGGGCCCTAATATCATAGCATGCAGCATCTGGAAACAATTAGGAGGAACAATTGAAGGAGCTGCATAGTTACATAGTATTTGAGGTTGAATAAAGACACAGGTCCATCAAGTTCAACCTTTGTGTGTCTGTGTGTGATTATGCATGTGTATGTGTGTAGAGTTGAGTTGAGAAGAGGCTTGTATTCTCACACCTTTCCCCCTATACTTTGTTATGTTTCAGACAAAACATATAGCAGTGGGATAAAATAAGCCCCATTGATGCTGTTGGTAGCAGTACAATAAGCTCCAAATCACTGGTGCAAAATAAGCCTTATAGTGTGACTCTCGGAAGGGAGATCACACCGTCCAACTTTCGCAACTACAGTGCTGGAATGTAGAGTGAGCATTCCCAATGCCTTTCTATAGAATGCACATTCCCACACTTGGCATCCAACTGCCGCTCTGCAAAGTGCTAAGTGCCCTGGATCCTGTGGGACAGCCTGCAGGACCAGGACACTATGCAACTATGCAACTATGTAATATACATCTGGATGAATTTTAAAAAGTAGAAGTGTATTTGGTTATTTTGCCATATCATAATTGTCAATGGTGGAAAAAGGCACTGGCACAGCTGCTTTACCACATAACTAGGTGAACCAGGCAAAGTTCGGTTGACAGAAGGTTTAGTAAGCTCAGCAAAAAATCTGCTAAACCCAAACATAGTCCTGAACCCCAGTGAAGTCTATGGGAGCATAATCTTGTTATTTTCAGCAACTGGTCATTGCCATGAGGGACATGTACTAGTGCAACAAAACATGTTATAATTGCTATTCAGTGGTGAGAGGGTCTTTTAACATTGAAAATATAAAAATATTTTGCATAACGTGCTTTGGGGATGCATTAAACCTGCATGTGATGTTGCGGAGCAGTGGCATGCACTTAGAGCTGCAACAGTTAATCGATTTAGTCGATTAAAATCGACGATTGAAAACGTTGGCAACGTTTTCGATCGTCGATTCGTCGGCTATCGATTGATTTGCCTGTTCGGGGCTCCACATGCGGCCTGAGCCGCACGTCACACGCTGCTCCCGTTGCGGCCATTCTGCACTGCGCCGCTGTATAATGTACTATATTGCACACCACACTTTTTTTTTACTTCCACCGCGCCAAGCTTGCTCCGGTGATGGACTACAATCTCAATACAAACTAGTAGTCCATCACTGGAGCCTTTTTTTTTCTTTTTTATCCGATTAACCAATTAATCGAACTTAATAATCGGCCAACTAATCGATTATGAAAATAATCGTTAGCTGCAGCCCTACATGCACTCCTTTAGAATTAATGGGGATCTGTCATTAAGCAGTTAGCACTTCTGTATCCCATTATCCTCACTTCCGATACAGCCCCACTGACTTGATGGTAAACAAATGGGACAGGGATCATGTCATTGACAAAATATGGTCATGAACATACACGGTCAATGATGTCACCTGGGTTCCACACACAGAGCTATTTGCAAATTGCGGGATTTGGATGTTTGTGGAGCGATTGGCAGTGTTGTCTCGCCTTTAAGATGATGTCTGCCAAACTGGGGTACAATAAGACAGTTAGTGAAGGAGTTTCAAAGCTAGAATCTGGAACTGGTGAGATACATCATCACATAGAAGTCCGCAGCAGTCTAGCAGTGGCAAGAGCTGATTTACATGGAATAATTTGTATAGGAATTCACTTCTGGTGTGGAAATGCCTTGTTATGATATTACTCATACACAAGACTCAAGGAAACTAGATTCTTAAGAAGTGTTAAGAAGAAAGAGCCCAGTCACACTACGCAAGAATGTTTACAGCATGTTGAGGAGATCTGTGTTTTTGCAGTCTACAGCTAGTACAACTAGTTCACATCTGTGCACTGCAATGCACTAGAATGCATATTAGCTGCGATGCTTCAGCCAGGTACATTTAAAATGAACCGCAACACAATGCACCTACAATAGTTTTGTGCTTTAACATGGCTGATGGGGCCCAAAATGTTGTTCTAACCCATATTATCCACCCACCATCCAACTGGAATTTACATGGGTGAGTGGGCCCAAAATGTTGTTTTGACCCATATCATCCACTCACCATCCAAATGGAATTTTCAAAGTGCAGACTACATACTGAAAACTCTTTCTTATATGTGGAAACCAATACAAACTTTTCTTACACGTGACAGATGGGTTTGGCAGCACTGCCTTAATCTACTCAATACAAGAAATAAAAGTGACTCTTAGGTAATAAACTCTGCTTTTACTATGTGAGAATCACAAGAAATACCACTTGATGCTGAACTGCATGCAGCCAAGTGTTATATTTAGCAACGAGTATGTGGAATTTCAGACAGAACAATGTCACAAACAGTGCTCATCAAACCATAAACATCAATCAAAGCCTTTTACAGCTGTCAGTGGCTGAATTACATTTGAATGATCACACACATTGCTTAAAGCATGCATGGTGCAAACTCACAGGGTTATTCACAGAAGGGTGAAGAGTTTGGGGAAGGCAGGAGCAGTGAACAATCTAGGACAACATAGCTGAACTGGAAAGTGAGCTGAATTGGAGAATTTTTCCAAATCAGCTATGTTGTCCTAGATTGTACATTTTCTCCTGTCTTCTCCAAACTCTTCCCCCTTTTGTGAATAACCCTGTCAGTGTTTTCAGGGAAGGTAAACAGTGACCTCTCAGATACTTCAAATATCCATCAGCCCTTTGCCTGGAAGTGTTCTTTCTCCCTCTAGTAATTGCACAATTATACGTGATCAGCACAGTCTGTTTTTAAGTTGGCCATACACTGTCAGAATTCTGTTTAAAATCATTCATTCTCTCCATTCGTTCTCCTCCTACCTAGCTATGCGCTCCTTTAGTGTCAACTACAAATCTAAATCCTCCCCTCCTCTTCCTCTTTCTGTAGGGGTCCCCCAAGGCTCTGTCCTTGGACCGCTTCTCTTCTCCATCAACACTTTCTCCCTTGGTCAGTTAATAACCTCACAAGGCTTCCAATACCATCTCTATGCCGATGACACTCAAATCTATCTTTCCACTCCACAACTCACCCCCTCAGTGTTCTTGCGTGCTACTATTCTACTAACTGACATATCCGTCTAGATGTCACAAAACTCAACCTTTCAAAAACCGAGCTCTTGATATTTCCTCCTGCGCGTGCACCTTCCCCCAACATTTCAGTTGAGATTGATAACACAACTATCCATCCCTCCCCCCATGCCAAGGTCCTAGGTGTCCTCCTTGACGCGGACCTCACCTTTCTTCCCCACATCCAATCACTATCTAAATCCTGCCGCCTTCACCTTCGCAACATCTCCAAAATAAGCCCCTTCCTCACCAAAGAAACCGCAAAATTACTCATCCACTCACTTGTTATATCTTGTCTTGACTATTGCAACTCCCTCCTCATTGGCCTTCCACTACACAGGCTATCCCCCCTTCAGTCTATCATGAATGCAGCTGCTACACTCATCCACCTAACCAACCGCTCATTGTGTGCAACCCCCCTCTGTCAATCCCTACACTGGCTTCCACTCGCCCAAAGGAAAAAAATCAAAATATTAACAGTCACTTGCAAAGCCAACCACAACTCTGCCCCTGGCTATATCTCAAACCTTGTCTCAAAATATCACCCTAACCGTCCCCTCCACTCTTCAACTCCTCCCATACTCGCCTCCAGGCCTTCTCTAGAGTCTCTCCCATCCTCTGGAACTCTTTACCCCAACCTGTCCGTCTATCTCCCACCTTGACTGCCTTTAGATGATCCCTTAAGACTCATCTCTTTGGGGAAGCCTATCCCACCTCAACCTAACCACTGTACCATCATGGTCTCAAACAATTCATCCCCACACAGCTACCTCCTCATGTATCACTTCTCCCTCCCTTTTAGATTGTAAGCCCTCACGGGCAGGGCCCTCCTTACCATCTTGTCTTGATTTGTATTGTGATTGTAATGTCTTCCTTATATTGTAAAGCGGTGCGCAAACTGTTGGCGCTATATAAATCCTATATAATAATAATTATAATTCATCAGAGCATTCAATCTTGTCATCATTAAATCACTTAATTTAATTCCCTTACAATTAACTTTGGACTCTTAAAATATCATCCAGACATGCTACTTAAAGGAGAACCATGGGGTAACCTTTTTTCCCCATAGTTCTCTTTAGGGTCATGGGAGGACATATACTAACCTCCCCCCGTGACCCAAAACTCAGTATATAGCGGCAGAGGCAGAGCCTCCAGAGCTATCTAGAGGCAGAGCCTGCTATGCCCGCCACCTCCTCGTCCATCCCTCCAGTCAGCGCTGGAGGATCAGAGAGATGAGTGGGGAATCCCTATGGGGAGCGGTGATTGTCAGGGGGATGATTGGGAAGTCAGCGAGTGGCTGTATGTTTTCACTCACTTCCCGATCAATAGAGCCGACTTGAGTTTCAATGTCACATGTCGGCTCTAACTATGGGAATGAGTGTACCGTATTTGCCGGCGTATAAGACGACTCGGCATATAAGACGATCCCCTACTTTTTGTGTTAAAATATAGGTTTTGGGCTATACTCGTCGTATAAGACGAGTATAGCCCAAAATAATGTTTAAATGCACCCACTAACCTCCATGGCGGTATTCCCGAGTGTGGCTCGGGGTTCATTTTCAGTACCATAAGTGGTAACCCCGAGCCACACTCGGGATTACAGTCTCTCACCTTGTCCACGATCCCCGCAGCGTCTTCCATCTTCCGTCCTTCAGCTACATACAGTATACCGCGCTGAGCAGGGTTTGTACTCATTAATACAAAGGCTGCCGTGATTGGCTCAGTGCTGAGCCAATCACGGCAGGCTTTGCATTCATTAATACAGGCTTTGCATTCATTAATACAAAGCCTGCCGTGATTGGCTTAGCGCTGAGCCAATCATGGCAGGCTTTGAATTCATTAATACAGGCTTTGTATTCATTAATACAAAGCCTGCCGTGATTGGCTCAGCGAGGTATACTGTATGTAGCCGAAGCTACATACAGAATACCCGGCGTATAAGACGACCCCCGATTTTTGGCCAGTGTTTTTGGGTCTAAAAACCCGTCTTATATGCCGGCATATACAGTAATTCACTCACCCCATAGTTCTCCTTTAAATGTAATCTCAGACATATGAAACAGGTTTCTTTTGTGCCTAGAACATGTGCATTACAATACGTACGATGTTTCTTGACAATCACATTATCGGTTAGTATTTCACACAAATTTTGTTGGTGTATATTGTTTTATTTCCTGGCTTCTATGTAGTATCAAGAAAACTGTGGGTACTAAACTCTCAGTGCATATTTTGCCCTTTACAATATGGATCATTATAATGCTGCCTTAAAAAGTGAAATCATTTTCTATTTAGAGCTTCCATGTAATCAGTATTCATTAATGACAATGCTAAGCTACAAAACGCTTGCCATGCTGCTTTTTTACAAAAGGTTGCCAAACATAAATCAGTATAAAGCAGCTCACCAGTGAATAAATACTAATGTCAGAATCATTTGTCTATGCAGACCCCATTATTTCATCTTCTGGACACTTTCACCAATGTGCTGTAAATCACAGAATTTCAGAGAGGTCACGTGAAAGAAGTCATTATCGTCACCAATTCTGACTGTAAGGCCTGGTTCACACCTGAACGTTTTGTAGCGCGTTCAACGCTCGACGAACGCTCTACAAAACGCTCAGACATCTAAATCCCATTGTATTCAATGGGTCTGGTTCACACCTTGCCATATTTCCGCCCGTCCGAACACGATACAAAACGGCCTACGCCCAAAGAAGTACATGTACTTCTTTGGGGCGTTTTGGTCTCGCGTTTCCATTGGGATACAGCCAAGTAGCCCTCGGAAACGGGCGTTTGTCGCGCGTTTTTTTATCGCGAATCGCGCATATTCAATACGCCTAGGTGTGAACCCTGCCTAACATTCTCACAACCTCATGCATAACTAATTCTCTCTTGCCCTCCTGCACCAGCCACATGGCTATGCAGAAATACATTTGGCAGGTCATTAGGAAGCCCTGCACAAGATGTACCTGTAGGTACCATGACATTTACTCACAAGATCAACAATTAGGTTCTCATTAAAGATTTATTTTTTATTTACTGGCTCAACCTCTATAAAGGCTCCATATGACTAATGGCAAAATGTTTTATAAATAAAATCTAGATTTTCTTAATTTATCATGCAAGTTAACAAAAGAAAAATATTTCCATCAGCTAATTTAAATACTACCATATAATTGCTTTAATTTCAGGAAAGAACCATCACTTTCAACGTACATCTCTATAGGTTGAACTCGATGGACTTGTGTCTTTTTTCAACCTGACTAACCATGTAACGTTTTTCATCACACATAACTGATATGCATATAATGACATGTGACCTATAACTGTTTTAGGCAAAGCCTCAGTCATTCAGATAAAATCCATGTTTACCTTTCCAGTTCCTAACATTGTCCAGACTCGATAGCGAGATTCTTCTTGGCACCATTCCAGATAAACAATGTCCATTCTGAATGATTCCACTGGAAATCACTTCAGGCCTTGCTTCGGGAAAATGGTTTGGCTTTGGCGGTCTTGGTGGTGGAGTGATAGGTAAGCTCTCACTTTCACTGAGTCCACTATGGTTTTTTTCAATGGAAAATGTCTGTGATAATGAGGGACCCAGAAGAGGGGAAGAAGAAGAAAAGTCACTGGTGGAACCATTTGATTCTAGATCTTTGACCGCAATGATGGTTGGAGATTGCATATGATTGTGGTGGTGAAAGTTTACATTGTAAAGTGTCTGGTTAAGAGGATGTTGGGACGGTAAGCAGTCAAGAAAAACATCATCGCATGAGGTCTGTTCAAGGGACTTGTCAGAGTTTGACCATGCATCACATCTGAAATGAGGAACAAGAAAAATAAATCATCAAACAAAGCACTAGAAAAAGAAAACAAACCAAAATCTGCTTTACACAAGGTTCTTTACGGACAAAATGAAATGTTGTCTTGTCTGAGCCTGGTACCATAATGATCCTTACGCCATGATAAAGCATCTATAGTAAACCTCTGAATGGTGTCCCTGTGCTTTTGAAGGCCCCCAAAATTCATAAAGGTGGTGCAGATGAACAACAGTATGGATCCTATCACCTAGCATTTGCCCGCAGGTGCACCTTCTGTACAAAGAGAATTCCCGCTGCAGCTAATTGTATATTAAATATCCACATATTAAAGAGCTACTCCATGGAGCAAGACATGAAAGGCCAGATGCTTAGCTGTAAAGGTAAATTCCTTGTCGCCACAATCCTGAAAATCCTCATAGGTCTATAAGCAATCCACTAGAGAATGTTTTTACCTGCCACCGTATTTTTTATTTCCCTGAAAAAATGTGAAACACCAAAGTTGGTGACAACTATAGGCACGTGCTAAAGAGCCGAGCTCAGAGATGGATTAAGGCAGAAAGGTCCAAAGTAAGGCAAAAGCCCTCTATCCCTTTGTAATGCTCTGGACTACAAATCCCAGAGACATAAAGCTTATCTAAAGGATGAGCCCAGCTGGAAAGCTTGGCAAAACTTTAATTTCTATTTGTTATCTGTTCTTGCAGTAAAGCTTCAAGGAAACTGACCCAGTAGCATTTAAAATTACTTTACTTGGCGGAAATGCTGCATGTACCACAACACACCCTTTGGCCCTCTAGCCCTTTGATTACCATATGAATTAAAATAGGCACAGAAATGCCACCCCATTGACATTGTCTGAGCCAGCATGGCAACTACCCATCAGACAGGGAAAGGCAGGTACACAGCATAGACTAATTACTTTGGGGTCTATTCACTAAGCTGCCATAGGCAGCCGAGTGAAAGACCGACCTGAAGTGAAGTGAGCTGAACGCCGTTATGAATAGACCCCTTTATCTCCCTGGTTTACTGCAGAAGCATGAATGTTATAGCCCCCAGGACATCCACTTTGCCCTAATCTCCTGCCTATGTTGCCTTTTGGACAATCCAGTTTTGGCCAAGCTTTAGAACAGGGAAAACAGGATGAAATTTGAGTGCTAGCATTCGTAACTCAAGCTGAAGGAATCCATTGCGGGTATAAATACTCTTTAAGCCAACAATCTGCAAACCATGCTGACCAATCAGACCACTCTAAACTGATAAATTATTTCATCTGACTGGCTACTATGATCAACTACAGACCACTGCTTGTTTTAGTAAAAAATATTTTAGTAAGAAATATATATATTTATTACATAACTATAAGAAATAAAGAGCTAGGGATCAGACAGAACGGTGCAATCATGAAAAATGTTACTAATTTGAAAGTAACTTAATGATACAAAAACTTCAGTGGAGTGAAGCAATAATCCTACATTCTGAGACTGTTAGACATTTATGCTGACTGATGAGTCACTAAAATCATCCCCTGCAAAATGTATAAAAGTAAATGTAATTACCACTACCAAAGTTTTGAATACAAGGCAGATATAAAAACACTATTTAATGCACTGATGTATGTATTAAATGCAATTGAGTATGTTTTTACATACTGTGTAATTACGATAACTACCTGAATCTGCCTTGATATCAGCCTTTTGTAATCTCCTGCACAGTAGGGCTCTGGAGTTGCCAGCTCTCCTTATGCAATCAGGATTATTATTACATTGCTGTCAGTCTCTGCTTCTAAACAAGCTGAGAGGAGGGTAGAGCAGAGGTACAACCTCATAAGTGTGCTGCTACTCCCTCACTCTTCACGTCATATTTTTCACATTGCAATTTTGTAGGTAAAAAAAGAATGGGCCCTCATACTAGCTTCCTTTTTTATAGACTGCGGCATTACAAAATGGCAAGGTTCTTGTTTATATGATGGAATGCACACTCAGTTTGAAATGCATTTGGCTATTTTTAAACTGAAGTCAGAGATTTCTGTCCTCCATCTGATTCTCACAGATGATACCAAGTGGGAGGGATGGTATGATCTTTCTAAGTGTCATTAGAGAGAACACTCAGTTCTTTTCTGCTTGGATCAAAGATTAAGTAAAATGTTTTCACTAAGCAACATGCACATTTATCTCACATATTTTTAGCATTCACTTCATTTTAGAACAGCGACCATCTTTCCGAAATCAGAAAAACTGTCAAAATGTAGGCTATTCTTGGACATGGTGATTTGTGAACATGGAACAAAAAAATAATAATAACAATAATAATAATAAAAAACATCTAATGGTTTTATGATAACCAGGAAGTAACTAAAATATATTTTTAAGCAATACAACATGAAACAATATAATCTTTGGGGTTGTCCAGCATATATGTTCCCCCAATGTTATTTATTATTAACAAGCCATTGTTGTAATAGAGCGATAGACACGATATGGTCATAACAGAACAAGAACATCCTTCACACCCTATACAGACACTAGGTGGTCACATATTTCACAAGGAAGAAAGCAAAGATTTACTTAAACATGGGTTTGATACTTTAATAAAGGGTCAAATATTTCCAATGTGAAAAGGATCCTCTCCACTATGATGTTACAATCTTTTAGATTGTAAGCCCTCAGGGGCAGGGCCCTCCTTATCATCTTGTCTTGAATTGTATTGTAATTGTAATGTCTTCCTTATATTATAAAGCGCTGCGCAAACTGTTGACGCTAAATAAAACCTGTATAATAATAATGTAAAAAAAAACAGTAGGCCGAACTGAGCTGATCTAAACTTCTAGGGGACACATTTTGTCTTCTGATGGCCACACATACAGAATTCCGCAAAAAATATTAAAACACTTTGGTAATTAACACTACAGTTCCAACTGCAACTTACATGATTCTATCTCAGAAAAAAGGCCTTAAAACATTGCCTGAAGTACGGAGCTGCAAAATTGCTTGCTTTAGCACTAAGCCTTTCATTTCTATATATTATTTAGGGGTCTATTCACGAAGCTGCCGAAGGATCTGGCCGTAGCATCGGCCTGTCCTTCGGCTTGCTTCGGCCCCAGGACCCCTTCAGTTCAGTAGAACCGAAGGGGTGCTGTACGGGCGATTCACAATAGCCCGTACAATATTTTGTTTTATTCGCTATAGTGAGTGAGAATTTACACAAACTGAAATAATATACTGTACATATTCATATTTAACTCCTAATCCAAATCAAACAGTGCTTGTTTCCTGTTAGCCCTGATGAAGGGGGTCCTGTTGAACATATTTGTCAAGTAGGGCATACACAGGTAGATTTTCGAACAAACGTTGATATACGACATACCTTGTTGGCTCTGCCTACAAGGTATGGCTCTGCCAGCTGGCTCTGCCTACCTAGAGGCCTAGCCAGCTGTACCCGCCCCCTCCCCCATCCGTTCCGCCAGTCAGCACTGGCGGAGCGGGGAGGGGGGGAATCCAGCCCCTCCCCTGTCACGGCTCTCTGGAGAGGTGAGCGAAGAGGTGGATCGAGAAGTGAGCGAACGCCGTTATGTGTTCGTTCACCTCCCGATCTACTGAGCCGACCTGTGACAGTCTCATTGTCACATGTCGGCTAAAACTATGAGGTGAGTGAAAAGCACTCAACTCATAGTTCTCCTTAAACATTCGATTTTGGATTGAATGTAGTTTCCCAAACGGAAACCACATTCACTGTTAGAATTTATAACATGCTCCTTGACTGTGGTCAAAATTAATCATCGATTTGACCCCATCAATTATTAGAAAGTCGATTGAATCTTCTGAAATCGATCTTGTTCATTTGAAATTCGTTCAGTGTGGGTTATTGTACTTAACACAGCTCACTATAGCTCTCTATATGCCACCAGTGACCTCCTTCTGAAAATGCTTGTTGCCTAGCCGTCATCCTGATTTATTGACCGCATGATTTTTTCGGTTCAGTGACTCAGAATATCTTAAAATCAGAGATGTATAGGCAACTAGAGTTTTTAAAAGGAGGACAGCAAATTCATGGTCTGTATTTCTCTGCTGTATCTCATTTAAGCCTTACACTTTCTTGGTAAGCAGGAGATTAGATAGCAGGTTTGTACTTCATTGTAAACTCAGTGTTGCCCCTTTGGTAGATCCGTATTTCAGTCATCACTAATGCTACAAATCCAAAAATAAAACACAATGTATAACATAGGGGTCTATTCACAAAGCTGCCGAAGGATCTGGCCGTAGCTTCGGCCGATCCGTCGGCTGGCTTCGGCCCCAGGACCCCTTCGGTTCAGGAGAACCGAGGGGGTGCTGTAGGGCTATTCACAATAGCCCGTACATCTCCCGATCACGGCCGAGCAGCTCAGTCGAGCGCTGAGCCGTGCTGAAAGCCAAAGCTGGCCGAGCGGCCGGCCATTGGCCGGCCGACAGCCTGCTTCTGACAGCTGGGCGGAGCCAGC